GCTTTAATCAACATAACCCGCGCTCTAAGAGAAATGAATTAAAAAGCTTAGGTCTGAAATATTAATCGCTGTTTACTGTGCTAATTTTCCCTCTGCAGGCAGCCTGGCCCGAGGGGGCTGGCTCAAAATGAATCGTGTCGTTAGTGCTGTTGCCATGGGAGCAGGTTGCTATGGGATGGGCGTCGCGGTAACGGATGGCAGTTTGACCCAGCGGTGTCTGCTGAGAACAGGAACAGCTGGTTAGCCCACTTGGCTGAGCCAGCCCTTCAGAAACAGGACAGCAGATGAGACCAGGCACGTGTTCAATCAGTTAACTGGCTGGACAAAGCGCACTAGAATTTTTTAAAGCAGCTATTTTATGGAAAACTAAATTTTCCTTGGTTTTTGGAATAAAAGAAGGTACACATTGTTAAAGTTTCTTCCCCTAGTTCATACAGTGCACATACGAAAAACTGACCTGCTAAAATAGCTCTTTTAGAGTCATTCATGGTTGTGATGTCACAACCATGGATTTATTTATATATGTCTGGCCATTCAGGCTACAGCAGTTTAGCTATATTAGGTGTAAGCAATAAGGAGTGTTGTTACTGCAGATAGTCTGTAGCAGAGTTATTGCACTAGAAGATGTGGAGAAAACAGTTAAATGCTGTGCTGTTCCTGGCTGTCAGGAAGCAAGTGGATCATTATAGCTTTCCAAAGAAATCAGAAGTTTGAAAGGAGCGGCTGAAGTTTTTTTCTCCTGAAGATTTCAGTCTAAAATTTAACAGTTTGTCTTGTACATTTTGGCCCAGAATGCATTTGGAATGAGCCACAATACAGAGCAGCCAATCAAAACAGAAGTAATTTATATAAGTCATAAATGCACATTAACAAAAACAGCCTGTTTAATTCTAAAGGATAAAGAGAGGTAAGAAAATGATTGCTTAAAAATGGATTACTACTGTTTTTGGTACGCAAAACCACAGAAACATTATAAGTAGACTTGAAAAAAGTGGGGAAAAAATAATTTACAAAACAAAAATGCAGCATAAGGGTCCTTTAAAGCTTTCTTAAATAAAGACTGGTGCAATGCACCACACAAAACACTTGCATACTCAGGCTATAATTGCATTTACTGTGAAAAGTACAGCTTGTCTGATTTCTTATTCAGTGAGTGTCAGGGCAAACTAGTACTTCATTTACCACCTTTATTACACAATTATAGACATATACACCTGCCTGATCAATGAAATTGGATTTGTTGAATTCAACAAATGAATAGCTAAATGAACACCAGTCACATTTACTCCCTCACTGGCCTTCAAATTAAAGATGATCGAAAAACTACACAACGTTTTATTCTTTGATCAGCAACAATTACTTAGCGTGTCCTAATTCCTTGTTGCAAAGAAGTACAAAACTGCATAACAAAATGAAACAAATATGCAGCTCAGGTTTGCAACAGATCCTTCTGAGGTTTCAAGGACACTCGGAGATTTTCAGAGTTTCATGCACGCTCATACACTCTGTGGGGTCACGCGAGGAGAACGGCAGCTCCTAGGGTCTATCTGCGTCTCTCCATCTCACTGAATATTTCCGAGTATCAATCTCTCTGTCTCTCCCTTCCTAATTTTCTCTCTCTCTCTCTCTCTCTCTCTCTCGCTCTCTCTCTGGCACTTTGTGTCATTTCTTTGGTGCACTATGCAGGACTTTAATCTGTGAAAATGATTGTTGTGCATTGAATGACTGCCAGCCACACATACAAATACACAAACAAACAAACATTCATTCTTTTTCTACAATGTCAGGATGTGGGGCCATATGTAAGTATATGTAGTATATGTAGTAATAATAGTAGTAAATAGCAATTGTTAAATCTAAAACATTACTTTAATAGAACCAGTAATGTGAAGTAGACAAACAAGGTCAAAACAAATTCCAGAAGAGATGAGAAATTGAAATATCTGTCTAAAATGTGCTACAAAGCCCATTCCAAGGCTCTGTATACATTACATACATGTAAGTTCCTATACGTAATAACAAAATGTCCCAAATTGTCTCTGGTTGTTACATATTTTAAACTGTCCTTTACATTATGTGAACAATTCATGACAAACAGACCAATAGAAGTGGTCTAAAATGACTTGAACATAATATTTATACATCATGTTACAAGAAAGTTTCCTTCTAATGAAAAGTTACCATTTTGAATTGAGGTTGTTCTGACAGCAATGATAATGTATGTATATGCACTTTCCAAGAAAAACTGTAAACATAACTATTATTTTAACATCCAAAACCAAAAAGAAACACAACATGGTGCTTTTGGAAAAAGCACTTTACAAAGTCACCACAGCAGTTTCCCCCTTTTTTCTCTAGTTTCCCTAAAAATACAGGACATTTTCTGTAAATGTACACACACAACTTTCAAGCACATACTGTGACTGTATGTGTAGATGTCCTTGCATATATCCCACTCATATTTTGCTTTAAGCTATTTTGAATGACCTCATCATCACTGGTTGGGTAACTAAGAGCCACATACTCAATTACTCTTCTTCATCAACAGGCTTAGCTGACTGTACGCTTTCTCTTCTCTGAAGCACCTCTTTACCTCTACGGAGGAGCTTCTGACCTCCGCAGTTCTCTCACTCTCTATTCCTCAAAAGTGTCCTGTTCCTCCTTCTGTCTGCATCTCTCTATCTTTCTGTCTCCCTTTTTACACTTTTCTTCCTCTGCCCATCAATCTTCTGCCAGCCTCTAGCCTGCGTCTACCTCTCTGGGGGTCCCCATATGACCCTCCTTCCGTTTCAGCGGGAGTGCCTACCCTCTCTCCATCTCCCTCTCTCTGTTTCCATTCCTCCATCTCTCTCCACAGATGGTGGGCCATGTGGCAGGCTGGCAGCTCGACTTATTATTGCCCCCGTTGTGCCCAGAGAGAGGTGGGCATCAGGGGAGAGCACCAAGCACTGCTGTCCACTACAGGTGAGCCCGGCACACACTGTCCTACTTCCAAACCAGGCTACAGTTAAAACTCTGGAATCAAAAGGTTTTCACAGTAGAAGAACCAACTTCAGCAACATCAGGCCAGAATTTCTCTTATAATTAAAGGATTAAACCTTCTCTAATTAAAGGACTAGTTTGACAAAAGATGAGTTTAACCCACATTTCCAGTTACCATAAATTTAGCCAAGATATTTTTGGTGTCTGAAGTCAGAAACCAGATAAGCAAACATAAGATTTGAGATGTTAATGCAGTCTTAGGCCTGAGGTTACACTACACGACTTTTACCCCGATTCTGGCTGAGACTGTGCTGGTCGGCTCTAGTCTAGAATACAGTCTGGATTTTTTGTTCACCTGGAGTCGATAGGTGTAGAGGGAATTGAGCAGTGTGTGAGGGGCACAGACTCAGCTTTTTGGCCTCCCAAGTCGCATTTCAGACCAGGTTATATCAATCATTTTGATTTTTTTAGACTCAACTCTAGTAGTGTATACTGGTTAATAACTCAAACTGAATGGTGTTCTCTAATAGCCAATGAAAACTGAGATTGCAAAAGTAGAAAATACAGCAAGTAAACAAAGAAAAATAGCCAAAAGTCACCTGTGTGGAGCAAAGCAGTCAAATGATCTGAGTTAAAGGCATGAGCACAATTGAGTTTATGTACATTTAAAACCCTAAAACCCATCACACTGATCATATTTTTAAATCCATGACCCTCAATTAAACATGTTTACCTGCTGCTTCTTTACTGTGTCAGCGCAAACAACGGTGAAAACAGCAGCAGCAGCGAGTCACTCCACGTTTGTTTATTTGCGTCTCCTGGTAACAGGAGTGTGACTGAGTTCGCGTGAGTTTGATGAGTTCAGTTTGGTTCAGCAACAACTTATAGGCTGAGTAGTGTGTGTTCCCAAGTCGTTTATTGTGTGACCCCCAATATTTCAGTCCCTCAAAATATCTGCAGAAATCAGTGTGAGATGCCCAGTCTTTTAATAACTTGTTAGGAAGTTGCGTAGTGTACCCAAGGCTTTAGATAAGTGTGTGATGGATTTAGCCATGCTGTTTACATGATGCTAATAGTGGTACATAAGCTTTACTTGTTAGCTACATTAGCCTCACAGCTCCAGCATAAAACTACAGAATCGAACTTTGGACACTAAATATTTGGGATAAGGGCAAAATTATATTTTTTGTTGAACTATTCTGCAAACATGGGTAAAACAATGGGAAACGTCAGCCTCAGGACTCTGTATCAGTAACGGTAAAAGTCTGTTTAATTGTAATGAAAAATGAAGTGATTCATCCATCATACCACTGAACATTACCGAAGAAGCAGTTTTGGCACTTCTCAAAATTAAGTCTAACAAACTGCCTCAGTAACAGTAACAGCCTGTTTAATTTTAAGGAAAACCAAAGTGATTCATCCCTCATACCACAGAAACATAGCGAAACAAGAAGTGTTGACACTTCTCGAATTTACTCTAACAAACTGTATCTGTTTTATAAGCATAGTAGGAAAAAAAGCCTGATTAAAGCATTAAAATTAGGCCCATTTTTGGTATATGAAACCATACAATACTACACATTTATGACAAGACAGTAGGCCTGTCCCTGGAGAAAGGTTTCATGGCATTTTATGACATGTTTGCTACACGGTCAATGTAGCATTACACCTTTAAACAGAAGGTTTAGAGTATTGAAGTCAGCACTCAACAGATTTTATATATATATATATATATATATATATAGCTAATTAACATATGTAAAAATGGTGATAATTCAGCAACATACATAAACATGAACCAGGGTGGCTCCTGTAGCAGATGAATTTATTTCACTTGGTTAAATAAATAATATAAGAAAAAAGAAAAAGATTCATTCTATGTAAAAATATTTTTCATTATATTTTGACATTTTAAAGAGTTCTTTCTTACGAAAGGATTTCCTTTTTTTACAAACAACAGCCATTAACCTCCCACAGAGCTTACAGCATTCTCATTCACCAAGCCAGCTCGTACTCACCTTCTCTTGGTACTGCCTGCGTGAAGAGTCCAGTGACTGTATCAGTGCTGTTGCGTGACCCACGAACATGGCGTAGCACGTCGCTCCCACGATCATGCTAAGGATGGTCAGCCACACGTCCGTCATGCCGACCGGCGGGTACATGCCGTATCCGATGCAGAGCATGTGGCTCATGGCCTTGAAGAGGGCATACGAGTACTGCTGACCCCACGTATTGTTCTGCAGGGGGGAGAGAGGGACACAGACACACAGCCACAGGCTATCACACACAGTCCCCACAGCCTCTTCACTGGATGGCGTACAGGGAAAGGTCAGCTAGCACTCAAGCAGCACTGTCTCAGAGGGTACATGCCACCTGGGGCAGCCTCGGCAGGTGTGCCCATAATGTGGCATTCACAGCCCGGTGCACAAAACGTGTTAAGTATGCAGCGAAATTCAAATTCTTCAGCTGAATGGATGAACAGTCATTGAGATGCACCCCTGTGAGCCAGGGAAAAGGAAAGTCTCCAAAGTAAGAGACAGCGAGCAAAACCTAGCACAATTTGGTTTTTACTGAAGTCATTTGAACAGTTTTTGAGTTTATGATTAATGCTTTTTATACAAGTGACCTGCACATCTCAAAAATGGAAACTTTGATTCCAGCCTCTACATTTTTGAACAACAGCTGTAAGCAGAGTGCAAAAGTCACAACTTGCCTTGTAGGTGGGGTTAGTTGTGACAGACGGAGGGGCAAGTTGTACCAGTCACAAAAAATCTGGCAAATCTTCTGGTAAAATTTTCTCAGGTTCCTAAAAATGTTGCACTTTATTTTATGTACATCTTATGACATCTGTAAGACATTTTTATCAATCTGCGCATAAAAAAATTGACTGCTAATAATTAATATGGGGAAATGAACCTCTCTCATCTTGCAGCTTAGTTGCAACACTGTGTTGAAGTTAACTCTGCCGAGTGGAGGCTGTACTTCAGCCTGGCCGGCTCTCATTGTGAATTAGTGACAAGCTTCAACACAGTGCTATATTAGAGCCACAAAGAAAGTGATCAAATAATATAGCTGTGAATTCTGGGAATGAAACATGCTTCATTAATCGAAAAACACTTAAAAGTTAAACTATCTAGTAATAAACTAAAAAGTTCCCTTCATAATATAAAAACAGTCTGCTGAGAGAATCGTATTGTGAAAATTTACAGGTGAGGTGGCTACAGAATCACGAGAAGATGACCTAAAGCATTTTCTACTTGATTCTGTTTACTACATACTATACAGCAGTTGACACAATCTGATTGGTTGGGAAGCGACAAAGCGGATCCCTATTTTCGTATCAGGGCACTAATAAGGAGGTCAGACATTTTTACCGCCCAAATCTTAAAGTTGAATTTAAGAGTCATTCTGAAGGCACTACAATCTTCCACAATGCACTCAGAATTTCTAGAAAACGCAATAGATGTTATGCCAATGTCCACTGTAAGTTACTAAGCAATGGACAGAGGAAGGTTAGCTAAAGTGAATGTTTCTGCTGAGCTGTTGAAAACAAAATGTCAAAGTCTTTGGTGAGAAACTATAAAACCGCAGCTCTGCACAGTTGTAGGTTACTGCAATCATTAGCCATGAATTAAATGTATAGCCCAGTTACGTTTTGTACTTTTTTCCCAGTCCTTTGCACTTTTCAAAACACTTTTCTAATGTCTATGGCTACAAGTTAAAAGCCAACTTCAGCCTTGCTCAAACAATTATGTTGGTTTGTTTATGCGAGTAATAAATACTAATGCAGGCTGATGATGATGAGAATTATTGATTCATTTTTGCTAGTGTTTAGCAACCAATTCATTCTGATCACAGAATCAGTAATTTCACTAATAATAACAGCTTCCTTCACAAACCGTTACTATGTTTCTACTTTAGCACATAAAAATAAAGATAACTTTTACAAAAGCTTAGTTAACTTGCAGCCGATGGTCAAATTCTGAAGAACAGCGTGACCTACATGAAATTTGTTGCTCAAAGCATTTCAGTTAGCATCTATGATGGCCAAACAATGAAACAAACTGGAATTAACCAGAAATTAATGGAATACAATTCAACAAACAAGATGGGCAGTGAAATGCTTTACAGACTGCCTTCAGCTCTGTTGCTTAAATGCGTCCATGTTACATCAAAGTAGAAATTAATAATATAATATAATATAATATAATATAATTTAATAATTTCATGAGAAGAAGACGAATATAAAAAAAACTGTGAAAATCCTGTGAAAATGAAATTGTGAATGAATGGGGCTGTGAGACATAAAGATTCAGCAGGAAGAAAAAAAAGTGGGTCAGCTATTTAGAAAGATGTGAAATTTCGGTGCGTCTCTAAATGAATAAATTGCCCTTCTTTGGACCAGTGTGGAAGTCCGTGTGGAATCAATATCGGCTCTCTCCTGAGGAGACGTGTCCAAATTGCTTTCAAACTCATTTCTACAGGAGCAAAGCCCTGAAAGAGAGCCTATTAGAGCTTTCCAAAAAAAGGGGGGGGGAGAAATGATGACACAGTGCGATAATGGTATAGCCATGTTAGGAAAACCTAGGAAAATCTAAAACACTCCAGGCACCTCAGATGAGCGCATGACACCGAAGAGAGCAATACGCTCAGTCCTTATTCAGGAAACGCCTAAGAACTCTGTAGTGTAAGAAAAGGAAAGCAGGACCATCAATAATTTCTTTTGGCTGGTTTTCTTAAGTGCTAGATGACTGGGCTTGTGGACAGACCCAGCTTATGACTAAACAGTTTTTATTATGGATGCTATTCATTAAATGCAAGTGTGCCGGACTAAAAATACCAGGCCAAACGAGTGGAAATGGCCCCTCTGTGGTCACCTCCTCAATGACAGCGTTCATCATCCCAAATCTGCCGCAGTGCATTTGCTCTACCTGTCTTCGGTGGCCTACTTTCAATTGGATCGGCTTTGTTAGCTCAGATGTGATTTGTATGATGTTTCTCCTGTCCTGTAAGGTAATAACATATCACTATTATTCCTCCGAGGCCAGCAAGCTTTCCTGAGCCTCAGCAATGAACTCTGCTGAGAAATCAAATGTCATGAGAGGCTCTTCTTTCTGGACCCATGGCTGGCTACTCCAGTCCTTCTCATCCGGGTGATTCGGGGTCATACCTCAGGTGTTTGGCGGCTTGGTTATATAACCGTAAAGGGAACTCAATTACCAGGTGGAGGAGGGTTTGTAATGAGACCAGGCTCTCTCCTCACTCTCTGAGCACTGGGGCCTCTTCAAATGCTACACCACTTGACTAACAATAAGACAAAATTAAAGCACAGCACAGGTGCTCACTGGAAAATTGTCAATACTTGACTGATATTGAATTAAGATTTTTAAATAAATAGTATTCGCCTTAACATTTTTGACCCCTCAATTTCCAGGTTTATTAACTTTAGGGCTGTCACTATCAATTATATAGCAATCAGGTAATCAACCTGCTTTTTGTCAACTGAATAATGGTCTAACAACATAAAGTGACTTAACTGAACCATAAGAAATCATGCAGAGCCTTTCAACAATTAATTTACTAGATAATAAAAAGATAAGCAGGAATGCCTTTAAAAGGACTTCATTAAAATGTATCATGGCTGTCAAAGTTAATGCATTTTTTATGAATGGAGTTCCCACATTTTGCCCGTTTGACCCTTTTAACTGTCTGTAGATCTGGTCTGAAGCCCAGCTGCTCATGTGCTGTATTTTGCTATGACAGAATTAAAAAAAGGTACTGATTGATGGCTCTCTTTATGAAACCAAAGTATCATTTGGCAAAACAGCACTGATTCCAGTAATATCAGTAGTGTTAGCACTGGAGGATGCCTTCAGTAGACTATGCTGGACAGGGCTGAGGAGAGAACTAGGGATAAATCAACCAGCAGCAAACTAACAAAAACAACAGCAGAGTTCCTCTAAAAACAAGAACAGTGAAATGAGAGTGAGGGGGCTACAGTTGTGTGGGAGCTCGAACTTGCAGCCACTGTTCATCATGTTCTCACTGCTCACCGCTCTCACTACTCTTGCCCTTATTCATCACAATGGCGTAAAAAAGGAATGCATATTTTATGACGTGCAAACTACTCTGCATCTGATTCACAAAACTTTCGTACAATATGGAAAATAACGGAGATTTGAGGCAAATGATGAATCCGCTTTTGTGAGTGAAATCAAGCACCAGCCTACCACTATCTCATCATTTACATGATTGTGTAGTGTGATTATTTTCCTAAAAATGCAAATTTATGGTCAGATTTGACTGTCCGCAACTCTGACGAATGGGCCATTGTGATGAATCATTATTGTCATGTTCACCCTGCATTCCAGTTCATGTTTGATGAAAATAATGTTATTGAATTATTGCAAGTAATAAATACACTCTAATGAAGCTTACTTTGTCCACTCATAGGGCTGTAATGGAAATGGAAAAGTCTCTTTCTTTAGTCAAACTGTACATATAGACACACACACGTCTGTGAAGTTCATGCAAAGGTTTTGTTCCGATATCTCTGCTGTCGGAACAAAACCTCATATCTCCAAAAGGTAACTTTACAGGACAAGAAAAACTTCTTTAACTTATATAGAAGTAAAAAATGGAAAAATAAAAGCAAATCTGGGCCATTTCTGTTGGCCTGTTCACCATGAAACTTTACCATGACACACAGATCAACGGCCTTTTTAAATTATGTCAAAAACTGAAAGACAACAAAATTGGAGAGGTTCTGTCCCAACGTCAACTATAACAGTATGTTTACATACATACTTTGTGCATATAAGTGTGAATTAATTGATAATCATTAATAAGGCAACTTTCAGTAAATCATTGTTTGTTATCTAGTAATTAAGCTTAACTGAGTGATCATGACAGCCATATTACGTTTACAGTAATTTTTGCAGTTATTACGTTTAAGGTGTATTTTTCCATAACTACTGTTGATTATTTAATGAGTACTATGAAACTAATACGATAGTTATGTAGTTATGACAGTAAGGAATGGAACGGATCATTAGTGACGAGTTATTAACACACCTTGCCAAATACAGCACTTGCTGAGATGAATACTGTCACTAAAGCGTTTTTCATTTCTTTGCATTATTTGAAAACTCCAGTTACCCTTTACCTTGTGTTAAAATTTAATGATGAATGGAGCAACAAAAAAGCTTGTTTTGGAGATATGAGGTCTTGTTTCGACTGCAACAACATGTGAATACATAACACTGAGCAAAATGAGACGTCACAAAAGACGGCCTTTTTCTCTTCTCTCAGTTTGTGGTCGTACGGAGGCTCAGTAATGACCCAATCAGATGAGATGAAGATGAGATAGCTCAGACTCCAGTGAAATGTGATTAAGACAGGCTCTGCTGGAAAACACTCACCACCATCTTGTTTTTGGAGACCCAGCAGTCAGCGGGAAAGTCTTGCAGCATGGGCACCAGGAATTGCAGGCAGCCGTCCCAGTGACACAGCAGCAACATCATACCAATCAGATTCACTATCCGCACCATCGCGCTGGCCAGGTCGTAGGTCATATGGAAAATCTGGGGAACAAACAGAAGATCAGTATTCGTGATTTCCACTTTAAGCCTAATAGGTCCCAGCATTCTAGCTGAATAACTGCATTTATTGATCTTCTTTTATGAGTAAACTATACAAACTGTAGATATTACTAGATATTTTATGTTCTGATCATGTAGCAGGAGAATCTCTGTATAAGTTGAAGCCTTGTTCTGTTTTTGGAATGTGATGCTCATGTGGAATTGGCGAAATTTGTAAAGATGATTCCAAGTAGGTAGAATGTAAACTAAGCTAAGGGCATTTTACTTATGACAGTACAATTTCCAATATGATTTATCACTTATAAAACATATGTGCACTACTATTCAAATGTTTGGAATCAATCAGCCTCATTGACCAAATATCTCTTCTTAAAACCAACCTACACAGTTTTCACGAAGATTCTGACATTCACCAATGTTTTTTTATTTGGGATTTGTTCTTAGGTAAGAACAGAATCTACATACACTGAAGAGCACAAAGGTGTGAACAACTCTTTGCTTTAAGAACACGTCATGAATCTGATGTTTTCATAGGACCTTCCTTAATTACATTTACAGCATTTGGCAGACACTCTTATCCAGAGTGACTTACGATTTGATCATTTTACACAGGTAGGTGAAGGTAGTGTTAGGAGTATGGCCCAAGGACTCTTATTGGTATAGTGTAGGGTGCTTGCCCGGGGGGGGGGATTGAATCCCAGTCGACAGCGTAGAAGGCTGAGGTGTCACCCACTACACTATACAACCAATCAGTAAGTTAAGAAAACACTTAGCAAGTGACTGGTGAATGAGGCCCATTGTATTCAATAATATAAAATTCATCTGGTAGCATGTTTGTGTGATTTTCTAAGAGAAAATAAGTTAACACATCCTCTACAGTAAAGAAACTTATATATATATATATATATATATATATATATATATATATATATATATATATATAGCATTTTCTGCAATTTTCTGTGCACAATTTCAATTTATTTATTAGTTTTATGTATTGGAAGAACATACATACAATATAAAATATCACATGTGCCAAAACATTTACCATGTTTTATGTGGTTTTTTTATCAAATATGTTACACTCAGCAAATAAACAGTAACTGCATGAAGATGTGCAGTAATTATTACCTTCTTTTCACTCAACAAAACGTCATTTGACCAGGGGTGCCTAAACTTTTGCATATGACTGCATATGTATTAACAGACATCATAGCTTTACAGTTCATCCTTTGAATTGTATATTTCCCAAATTGAGTCAAATGTGCACATAATTGACACACAAATAAAATGCATTACATTAAGAGAATTATTGCCAAACTGAAAGATGAAACTGTATTTATTTTCTAAAATAATATATTAATGTTTATATGTTATATATTTAACATCAACTAAATGTTAGATGTTTTACAGCATTTAATGTTGTGTAATATAATAATACTAATGTGGGAATTTCTGAAACATTTTAAATAAATTCAATGCATCACCTTTTTCAGTGTTTATTAAATTATACTGCTAATATGCTAATATATGTGCACGTCCTTTTTCGACCTTTCAGGATTGGAGGCTTTTAAACCTGTTCAAGGTCGTATTCCTGGCTGTGCTGTGTAAGCTTTGTCCTGTAACGGGTCAGTTTATGTTTCTGTTAATCTGCTTCCAATTCTAGGCCACTGTGTACTCAGTCACAAACAAGCCTATGCATGTAATGACCAAACCACACTTATATAATCGCTGTTCTTGTTCTTTCTTTTTACAGATGTCACTAATGGATCTGTGCACTCTGACTGTGTTTAAGTGCACACGTGTGTAAAATGTCACTTCAGAGCCATGAGGTGAGAATAAAGCTTATAGTCAGCTGGGAAACAAGGTGGCTTTATCACATCACTAATGAATCTCTTAAACAACGACAACAGAGGAACAAAACAACAGAGGACTGGGGAGAGAGGGAGAGAGAGAGAGAGAGAGAGAGAGAAAGAGAGAGAGAGAGAGAGAGAGAGAGAGAGAGAGAGAGAGAGAATAAAGAGAAGAGAGTGGTGAGAGAGTAAAGAGAAAATGGAAGAAAGAGAAAGAAAAAAGGGAGAGAAAATGACAAAGAGAAGTAGAGAGATGGAGAGTGTACAAGAGCAAAAGAAATGAGAAGAAAAGAAAAAAAAGACAGAAAAGAGGATGAGAGGGAAGAAGATTCAAGATTGGTTTATTGTTTATTATATGTTTGCAGAATCAAACATACAATGAGAAAGAAAGAAAGAAAGAAAGAAAGAAAGAAAGAAAGAATGAAAGAAAGAAAATAGAGATAGACAGGGAGAAATAAAGTGAGGGACGAAATAGAACAAGACAGAGACAGAGAAGAAAGAAATAGAGAGAAATAGAACATAAGAGAAGATGGAAAGAGAGAACAGAGAGAGAGAGAGAGAGAAAGAGAGAAAGAGAGAGAAGATAAAGATGGAAAGAGAATTAGAGAGAAGCTAAAGAAAAGATGGAAAGAGAGAATGAGACAGAGAGGGAGAGAAAGAGAGAGAGGATGAGAGAGTGAGAAAGAGAGAGAGGATAAATAGATGAGAGTGAGAGAGAGAGTGAAGAGAAAATGGTGAGAGATATGGTGAGAGAATATAAAAAAGAATGAGAGAGAAGGAGAGAAAAAAGCAAGAGCAAGAGAGAAAAAAGAGAAAAGAAAGGAGAAAGACAGAGAAGAGGGTGAGAGACAGGAAGATTCAAGATCAGTTTATTGTTATGTATTCAGAATACAGGGTAATCAAAACACAATGAAAAGAAAGAAAGAAAGAAAGAAAGAAAGAAAGAAAGAAATAGAACGAGATAGAGAAATAGGGAAAAAAGTGAAAAGAAGGCAAAAGAGAAGAAATGGAGAGAGAGAGAGAGAGAGAGAGAGAGAGAGAGAGAGAGAGAGAGCATGCTGATGAAGGCCAAGGTCTGCTAATCCTAATGATAACTGCCCCTTGGGAATCTCCTGGACGCTCACGAAGGGTGCTGGGTGTTAATGGCCTCCACAATTTAAAGCTACTTAATCCCATTGAGGCCATGGCATGCACTGTTAACTGCATCTCTCCATATTAAAAGCCACTCAACGGCCTTTAAAAACACACTGCTTAAAAGCTTATAGCTGTGAGGGATACTCTCACTTGCTCTATTGTTATTAGGCAACAGAAGTGCCTCATAAATCAGCTTCAGTTATAGAATATGCTGCCTCCTGCTTTTCCTTTCTCTTGCCCAGTGCTAGCACCTGCCAACTGCTGCCAGTGTGATTACAGTCCATATGCTTTTTCTTTTATTTCTTGTGTATGCATGCCAGCACTCAAAGAGATATGGGCTACTTTAGCAGCAGGGAATGTACAGCCATCACACCATTCACAATTTCTGAATAATTTGAATTGTGGGCTAAATATACTCATATACTCACTGGCCAATTATTATAAATACCTACTTTATGCTTCAATTCAGTGGCCACTTCATCAGAAACATATGCTTTATAATTCCAATCAGTGGCCACTTTATTAGAAACATCTTATTACTTTTACTTGCTGACTATTTTATTAGAAACACCTACCATATACTTCCAATCAGTGGCCACTTTATCAGAAATACCTACCCACTAAGGCCCCTGATCAACACAGAGGGCGACTTATTTTGAAAGTTGTTGTCCCTGCTATTGCTATTTGTTTTGACCTGTCTTTTAGAAATGAACATAGCTATTGACACAGCATTCTCTGCTGTAAGACAGACCTTTGTCTGTTAAACACTTGTTTTTTGACAATTAGCTTAGCTGCCTTTGCCCTTTGTGGCTCGGGTTGTACATGCTTGATTTAAATGTTCTCCTATAAACCCACATGGAAACCTTAGTCAAAACGATGTGTTTCGCTCTGAAACAAACTATCATTTTGTTACACATTTTACAAAGTAACCTAACATTTACCAATACTTTTTGATACCACTGTACAGCAATATAATTACAATATATCATTTTGATCATGTTGTGGAGCCCAACTCGACATTCACCTATAAAGTTACTGTTTCAGAGATACAAGGTTTTGTTATCACACTGATGATAGAAAGTTTGGGCGCCACTGGTGAATTAAACGTCTTGTTGATTTTCTAAGTGAAAATAAGTTACACATCCTCTACGGAGGACACACTGCACGTTTTGATGAACAATTATTGCTTATTTGCTGAGTTAATCATATTAAGGAAAAAACTAAGCTTAATATGTGGCCTGTGCAAAAGTTATGGCACAATGTGTATTTTATGTTTTATTTAAAATTGTTATGCCTTCAGGTCCTTCCCCTGCTGCCCTCGACTCCACACTCCACAGTTCCCATGATTCTCTGGACTCGACCAATCACAGATTACCTCCTAGATCCACATCACCTGATTATTGAACTGTTGTCACCTGTCCTCTGTTACTTCACCATGTATAAATACCTGTTCTTGGTGAAGTATTGCCAACCTAACCGGCTGCATACTGAGCGTTCATTTCTTTGTCTGATCTTCTGATCGGTTTATGACCAGTTTCTCATTTTGTGTCTGTGGATTCCCCTTTGTGGTATTGTTGTCTCGGACTGATTGCTGTTTTGGCTTTGACCCATGCGAATAATAATAAATACTCTTTGAACTTTTACGTCCATGAATGTCTGGTCAGTTGGACTAACATTACAAAAATGAAATAATTACATGTTATGATGTGTTTTATTTAAAAAAATGCACTAAATTGAGCACCAAAATTTGCAGAAAAAAAATTATATTTAAGTTCTCCAAAGAGGATGTGTTCAAATTTCCCCTTGAAAATCAACAAAACATGTCATTTGACTTTTGCATTCTATAATGTCAGACATTATGGGCAGCCATGGAGGCAGCTTGCAGACTGTTCATCGAGTGAGATACCAATCCCCAGCTCATAAGGACGAGAGCCAAGTGTGCACAGGATGGAAAGTTCCCTCTCTTCTCGGATGAGAGGAGACGTCAAGCTACAG